GTATTGTTTCTCACAAAACTACAACTATACTTTATTTCTTTGGTAACTGGATTAGTATTTAAAATTATAATTTATAATAGAGAAAACTTCAAAAAAAAACCCTAGAAGTTTTCTCAAAATCAGTTAGCCCTCTTTTCGAAATTTTAATTATTTATCCCCTTACTTAAAATTTAATTTTTCATTCAAAATTTTGTTAACAGAGTTAAATTTTTTAAAAGATATCAAAATTATCCTTAATAGAAAAAAGAAGAACATAATTTCCTCACAAATACAGTTTTAGACAAACACACATAAGCAAGACACGAATGTAAATCAACGATTGAATCCTCCCTCTACTCTCAACGACACAGAAAACAATGAAATAGCACCTTCTGCATGTTTGCTTGGTAATATCATATGATTAAGGGGAAAGCAAGGCATATATGAAGCACAAAACGTAGAGCTTTTCAGTTGTTGTGCAAGCAAAATAAAGTGTGGCTCTGAATAAATTTATAAAATCAGATTTGTTGGTCATATAATAGCAAAAAAGGGAAGAACTAAACCTGCTGAGATGATGCCTTTTTAATCATTTTATTTGAACAACGACGCCAACAATTGTGAGTGCGGTGTTTAATAGCAATGAGATTTGCAGGAAACAATTTTAATAATTACTAATTCTAACAAGGCTACCTTAAAGAAAACATTTCGTGAGTTCGTCTAAAACTGTGTTTGTAAGGAAATTATGTTTTTCTTTTTTCTATTAAGGATATTTTTGGTATTTTTTAAAAAATTTAACTCAATTAACAAAATTTTGGATGGAAAATCAAATTAAGGGATAAGTGATAAAGAAATTTTAAGTAGAGGGATAAATGATTAAAAATTTCGAGGAGGAGGTTAAGTGATATTGAGAAAACTTGTAGGGAATTTTTTTGAAGTTTTTCCTTTAATATTCACCGAAACTGAAGTTTAAAACGGGTAGGAAATATTATAAATGAATTAAATGATGGGCGTTTTCAATAACTTTTAAATATCAATAAATATGTTTTTATTTTCATTAGAGTTATACAAAACTGATTAATGTAAATGTTAAAACTATTACCAAACTATAAATTTAGCTCGATGGATCACTAACAAGTTACCAACAAAGCTTTCTTTTCTATGTTATCAAAAAAAAAAAAAAAAAAAGCTTTCTTTTCTGTTCTTTTTCAATAATCAAAGATCTTCAGCAATCGAGCCATGGCAACATTCAACACCTTTTTTCTATTGCTAATATTTATGACCAATTTTGCATTTTTGGTCACAACAGGGCTTTCATCTGATTTACCCGATCCATTAATTGGTTCCTCAACTAATTATGTACCAAGGCCATTGTCATCATATGGAGATTATCTGAGCAATTGTGCAGCGAAGTTATGCCAAAACTGTGGTGAAGAGATTTTCTTTACTATATTTTTTGGTAATAGAGTGATCAGTAATGAATGTTGTTTTAGCATTGTCAATGATGTGGGAAAATCCTGTCATGATGACATGACAAAATATATTTTGAGATGGCCAGAGTTCCAGACAAGAAGAATTCAATTCTTACAGAGAAGTCAGCAAGTATGGAATGATTGTCTTTCAACTTCAGTAGACATCCCTTCAGCTCAACCAATAGGTGCTTAAGCTTAAGAATTTGCACAACACAACTAAGAAATTGTACTCTATATATTATATAGAATGCAATAATTAACTGCATTTCCTGTTTATCTAGTAATAAAAGAAGATCCAACTTAATTATAAGATAAAACTAGTATACATGATCGATCACAATGTTGAAACATTGAAAAATAAATGAGGTGCATTAAATAACTGGCGTTCGGCGATCATTTATCTCCTCTGCTGAGTTCTTTGGGAATTATGTAATGTAGCTGGATATAATGGATTAAGAAGAGCTGATGTAGTAATTTTATCTATAAAATATTTAATATTTATTATTTTTAATGACAAATAAACAGTTAATAATTAAAGTAATTTAATTATGATGTATTTTGAAATAGGTGAAGGATTCGTTTACAAATTACACTAAGGGATTGTATTGGATTAGGCTTTTAAAAGTTTTTTTTGAGATAAAAAAATCATATAGATTTTAAAAGACTACTCTGAATTGGAGAGACTTTAAAAACTTTTTTAATAGATTTTTTTTACAATCAAGATTTCATAAGATTAGATTTTAAAGGATTTTAATAAAATTTATAAGATTTGAAAGGACAATACGAATTTTTAAGATTTTAAAAAACCATATGAATTTTTTAACAAACATTCAAAATTACAAGAGTCAATACAAAAAGTTAACAAAGAAATGCAATGATATTAATAAAAAAAAGTAAAACGTAATATAATTTCTGGGTTTGGTGTTTGTCATTTTAAATGACATAAGTTATGTCATTTTAGGAGAGAGATAAACACAGAAAAATAAAAATCATGGGAGAGAGAAAGTGAGTGGTTTTTTTTAATTTAAAATTTAAATAAAAAAATTTATTATGTGTCTATCTCTCAAATAAAATGACATATTTTTATGTCATTTAAAATGACAAATACATTTCTCATAATTTCTAAATCAATAAAACATAAAATAATTTTTTAAAAAAATTCAAAATTACTAAGCAACAGATCTCCACATATCTAAAGTTATACTAGTCTTCCACGCATTAATATTTTCTCGTTTCTGCTCTTGCGTTTGACTAATGGGTTGAAAATTATCTTCTTCATTTGGTATCAGAGCTAAGCATTTATGATTATAAGACCCAATTTTTCTATTTATTAAAATAATTCTAAATTTGCATATATAACCTAAAGTTCATGATCAAATTTCGTTTGGAATTTTTTGCAATTGATCTTGGAAAATATGAGATTTTTGTTCTACGAGATGAGAGTTTTCTAACCATATATCATATGCATATTTTCATTGAGTATTCCAAGAAAATTTTGGATCTGAATTTCTGAGTTTTATTACATGAAAATTTAGAAAATTGCTCAAATTATTTTCAATCGATACATTGAAATCTTAAATTGCTTTGGGGGTTTTGAAAATTAAATTTTAGTTATCTATTGACACAAAAATTGTTTGAAATCGTTTCTTATATAACAAAGGAATTTCTTTCATGAATGTATTATTATGAAACATAGGGTTCATATTATGAAAGTTTTAATATTTCTTTAATTCGATCTTGTTTCATTGATGTAAAATGAAAATTGGTTTGGAGGTTTTTGTTCCCTTGTTATTTTCACACTATTTTATGTTATTTTTAATACAAAAATCACACATTTTCTTACCAAGAAGAATCATGACCAATGTTGTTAAAATCGAGATTTTAAGTAAAATCAAAAAGAGACTAAAAGATCGTAAAACGTAAAATCATAATATAAAAAGGGGTTCGATTTTTCTATAGTCAATGTATTTTTGTAATTATAATTTATTTTAGGATTATAATAGTCTTTTTCTTTATAATTTTTTAATCCAAAACGACGTCGTTTTGGAAGCGAATGTAAATAACTTATCTATATTCACTATAGAAACATTAAAACCTATAAAAAAATCGTAAAATCGTAAAAGCGTTTGGAATATTGGTAAAATCGTTTTGATGAAAAAAATCGTAAAAACGTATAATTATAGTGATAAATCGAGATTTTAATAACCATGATCATGACCAATAACTTGAAAAATCATTTTTAAACTTTTAAAAATTCTCAAAAATTGCTTTAAAATCTGCTATTTTTTAAATGAATTAGATTAAAATCTTGTTGGGTTGTTGTTTTTGGATTGTTTTGTGATGAAAATTGCTCAAAAATATGTTATTTTTGAGCTTTGACGAAGCTCCCATGGCAAAACTTGGTTTCGAACAGGTCAACCTACCAAAGAAAAAAGAAGACACTGCAATATAAAAATCTCAAGAAATCCTAAGGCGTTTGGTTCAGGTGAAATTTTTTGAATACTAGGGAAATGTGATTACTAGAGAAATGGAGAAAATGGTTGGAAAGTGAGTTTGGTAGGAAAGTTAAAAAAAAGTTGTTTGGTTGAGAAAAATATTACCAGGAAAATTGATTAAAGTTATTGAAGTCTATGTTTGGTTGAGGATAAAATATTAATAGGTAAATGATATAAATTACAAAACTAACCCCTTGATAATTATAAAGTCATTGTATGCAACCTTCTATAGTGTTTTCTGATTTTCATATATGAAGTTCTATGTATCCTATTTGCCTGGTTATCACACAATACTACATTGAAAGTGGAAATCTTCTTCTGTGTTTCTCGTTTTTTTTGCAAAGAATTGTGAAAGCTAGGCAACTGACTTTGCTGGGGAAATTTTAAAAAAAGTTGAACCAAACGTTGACTTTGTAAATTTCCAATTTGTATTGCCTGGGATTATCTTGAAAAAACCCAAACCAAACGGCCCCTAAGGGTTAGGGTGATATTGTGAAAGAGACCTCCTATTTATATTTCTCAATAAAAAGTCTCACAAAATCTATATCAATAGAAAATCCATTAAAATCGTAAGATTTTTGAATACCACAAGATTATTTTTCCTTTGTTTAAAATCCTGATTGAATACCAACGGATTTAGACGGACTCTAAAATAATCTTTTAAAATCATAATCAAATACCACATAACTTTTTTTCAATCCTTTAAAATTCTAATCGAATATCAGTGGATTTTTTTGTCAAAAAATAATCTATTAAAATTCTTTAAAATCTTAATCCAATACACCCCTAAATATGAGCAATCATACACTCTTAATTAAAGTATAATCCATCGTACTTAACATAAATTATAAAAATTTATAAAGAAAAAATTTATAAATATAAATTTTCCTTTGAAATAATTAGCTTATCTTAGTTGTCCTGTTCTTACCGTGGATCCTTTAGACGCTTGGATTCTTTCGCTGATGAATCATTCCTGAAACCAGGTTAAATAAATAAAATAAAATAAGAAATAATTAATAAAAAAAAAATAGAAGAATAACCCAAACCCAATCACAGAAGAAAGAAAAGTGGATCGATTCCGAAGCCTCACCCACGCCATTTATATAAAACTCATTTTCCTTTCCCATTTCCTGCAAATCTGTTCCTTTCTCTCTCTGGTTCGGGTTCTTCCTCGCAAATCCGAAGGAGAGGATCTCTCTTGCGTTTTCTCTGTTAGGTATGTATATCATATCATACATCTATGATGATCTGTTGTTAGCGCGTCTATTCTTGCCTAACGTGTCTGATCTGAGCTGATTTCGGATTTCGATCTGTTGTCAGGTTTTCACGATGGCATCGAAGCGGATCTTGAAGGAACTCAAGGATTTGCAGAAGGATCCTCCCACTTCTTGCAGTGCCGGTATTTTTCTCTCTTTTCTTCGTGCTTTGATTTTTTTTTTTGTTGTTTTTTTTGTTTTGCATATTTGGTGCATGTTTGTTCTTAATGGTTTAATTTAAATTTCTTTAGGATGCGTTTAACTTTGGTCTTGTTAAGAAACTATGAGATCCCAAGTTTCTTCCAGTAACATTAACAAATTGAGATTTTTTTTTTCTTTTGATAACTGCATATTAAGAATTTTATATCTTGCGTCTCTGGTTGAATTTGGTTTCAACTGGATGTATCGGATTTCATTTTTGATTGGTCTTGCTGCCGTCTGTAGATTAGGACAGGTGTTTGTTTGGCAAGGTTATAGGGTGCCAAAGAGCAGAGGCATTAAATGTCGAGTAATGACGAGCAGAGGCTTGCCTGAGATGTAAATTCTTTGAGGCATGGTGATACTTAATGAGATCGGATTGGGTGGACGTGAATAAGTTTTTATAATTGGGGTTCGTTGTGGATTGTTGAATAAATTGTCATTACAGTCAAAAGATATTTTAGGGGAATGTACAATTCTGTGCAGTTTTCATTTCTTATGTCTTTAGATAGGTAGGAGACATCTCCCTGAACCTACCTTTGTGCATGTTTCAAGTTATATTGGTCTTTTTATTAACTTGTAAGCTATAATATTATTGCCTGGATCATGAATCTATTGGCAGCTGCTGCGTGTTTTATGACTAGATTCTGCAAAGGGGAAGTTGTAGTTGCTGTAGTTGAGCACTGATTAAAAGGGTACAAGGAACGGTCAGACCCACTGCGTGGGTCTATAGGCAGCGCTATCTTGCATTTGCAAGAGACTGATAACATGAATCGATCCAACTGTTATTCTAATGTTGCAATTTTACATATTATGCCTAGATTGTGGTTCAATCATTATCCAAATCAGAAATATATGTGATCATTGATACTTTTAATTCTTACTTGTGTTTCCTATTTTGGATGTCTGCTTAATATAAGTTCTCGCAACCCCATGGTGTGTTTTTGTATGTGTTGGTGGTCAGGGAGGATGAAACTAATTTCTGTGATAAGTTACTTAAGAACTTGTTATTGCTAAATTGGCAAAAAAATTAATAGTACAATTCTAGTCTTTGGATGACAATCATAGTTGGATAAAATTGTTATAAATTTAGAATTTCACCTTTTTATTTCTTAAAAGTAACAGTTTACCAATTGGCATGGTGGGACATTATGTTGCACTCAATCATTTTAGGAATTTATACACTATTTACGTTGGCATTTAGGACAAAAATGTATGCTTATATAGTAGTTTATCATTTGTTTCAAAACACTGCAGGTCCTGTGGCCGAAGATATGTTTCATTGGCAAGCAACAATTATGGGTCCTCCAGACAGTCCTTATGCTGGAGGTGTTTTCTTAGTTACTATTCATTTCCCTCCAGATTATCCATTTAAGCCCCCCAAGGTGTGTATATCTTTCAAGCATCTTTCTTTTTTTGTATAATTCAAGTGTCTCATATCTTCACTGTCTTCAATTCTTTACTAAAAAAAGTCACTCTTAAACCCCGACTAATGAGGGTAGCCGTACCTTTACATATTTGTAAAAAGACTATTTTCCATATTCAAACCTGTGACTTTTCAGTCACAAAGGAGCAACTTTATCATTGCTCCAGCTCGCCTTCTTTGTCTACAATTCTTTATTAGTGCATTTAAAATAATGCTGTAATGCATTTTCCTTATTTTGTTAGAGTTGCTCCTTTGTCTTTCAAATACTCATTTCCCGATGATGATCAGGATTTTATGCATGCTCAATTGTTTTTATTTCTAAAAGGAAAAAAAAATTAGTATCACAAGTGTATGGTTCAGTTGAAAATTTTAATTAGAACTGTATTCCTTCAGTTTATATGAGCATATCTATGTAGTATGCCAGCATGAGTACCATATAACTCCTTCAACTGATCTCTTATGCATACTTACGGATCGTGAGATGGTTTCAGGTTGCATTCAGGACGAAGGTATTCCACCCAAATATAAATAGCAATGGAAGCATTTGCCTTGATATATTGAAGGAGCAGTGGAGCCCTGCTTTAACTATTTCCAAGGTTTGTTTATTGATTTATCAGACAGCGTGACAAGCCTTCAATCCCTATAATGCGTTTCATATTCTTCCAGTGCAATCCATATCTGAACTAAGATGTGACAGTTCCTTTGACGCAGTGTCAAACAGTATTTACTGAACAAGGATCCATCACAATGTACTAAGGAACTGAACAGTTCTTAGTCTAAATATCCACGGGTATTTACTGAACAAGTGATTCACAAGAACATACTAATCCCTGTTCAAAATTTTTTATACTAGGAATTTGAAGAGCTGTTTTGCGTGAAGTTTGGCATGATGTGGTTCTACCTTAATTAGATATTTCGCACTTGTAGTTTGTTTTATACAAATATACAATCAACGGTCTTCAAATACCTTTATTCAGATCAAGTTATGAAATTTCATATGATGTGGTTCTACCTTAATTAGATATTTCGCACTTGTAGTTTGTTTTATACAAATATACAATCAACGGTCTTCAAATACCTTTATTCAGATCAAGTTATGAAATTTCATCTAATCAGTATTTACTTTGTTTTTTTGTCTATAACATCTTTAGGTGTTGCTCTCAATTTGTTCCCTGTTGACGGACCCAAATCCCGATGATCCTTTGGTCCCTGAAATTGCCCACATGTACAAGACAGACAGGAACAAGTACGAGTCAACTGCAAGAAGCTGGACCCAGAAATATGCCATGGGCTAATTGACCTGTAGCATGTGTGAGGGAGAGCCATTTTTACTTTCAGTGTTAAGGCCTAACAGCCTATGTATGAATATTTGTTAATCTTCGATTAAGGCCCCTCCAGTTGAAGATGAATGGAGGAAAACATTTCTTCTGTTGTTTGTATTGCTAAATGCCAATGCTACTTTTAGAACAGTGAAATGTAGCCGAATTAAAAGTTTGTTCAAAATTTTAACCATGTATTGATTTAATCATTTCATATTTAGATTTTATCTATGTTTTTATTAATAATTAAAAAATATTTTGTTTTTTATTTTAAGATGTTCCAAATGAAATAATGAAGACAACAAAATGATATGAAACTACATTCAACGAAGAAAGAGAGTACCAATACAAAAGTATTTTACTATTTTAATTTAGGGGAAAATAACTCATATCATTTAAGATAATTTCTCTCTGTTACAGACACAACATGTCAGGCGCATTTTAAAAAGATAAAAAAATTCAAGGCACATCTTTTGATAAGAGTGTAGAAGATGTGTTTTTTTTTCATGTAATACGAAAAAAAACCTACCAATTTAATTTATTACACGAGAAACTAATTTTTTTCATTATTCACCCCTTTTAACAATTGATTAAAAATGTAATAAAATAATCTAACCCGCCAAAAAAAAGAGAAAATCTTGTTTCCTCAATATTGAAAGTGTTGGGGTCAATTTGTTTTTTATTTTTAAGAAGACATTTGAAAATTTATCAAAAAAAAAAAAGAAGACATTTGAAAAATTAGGTTAAATTATTCTACGGATCCTTATAGTTTTACTAAATTTTCAAATAAGCCCATAAAGTTTAAATTTTTTAACAGAGTCCTTATGTATGAATTTTTTTGATTAGGTGTCGACTCGCTAATAACCATTAACTTGTACTAAATTATAAGAACTTATTTAAAAACTTAAGTATAAAAACTTATTCAATCATACCTTGTAAATTAAATCCTGATACTTTATTTAAATCTTCAAATAGGTCCCAATAATTTAGTTAAAGTTTTTGAAGTTTTAATGACGGTTAGCGAATAAAGATTTATGTAAAAAATTTAGAAGTATAGAGGATGTTATACTTACAACCTATTTTTCTTTACAATATCTTACAACCCATATTTTAACCGTTGATTTCCGTCAATCAACGGTTAAGATTTTTGAAAATTAAATTTATTAATTAATTATTAATTCACAATAATCTTAACAGTTAATTGAAGGAAATCAATGGTTAAAATATGGGTTGTAAGAGGTTGTAAAAGAAAATAGGTTGTAAGTATAACCTTCTATATATATATATATATATATATATATGAGATAGGATCCTTTGACACCAGTGTCAAATTTGAAATTTGACACCTCATCTGAGAGTCGTTAGATCAAAAAAGATCAACGGTGTCACATGCTTACAAATCAGAGTCGTTGATCTTTTTTGATCTAACGGCTCTCAGATGAGGTGTCAAATTTCAAATTTGACACCGGTATCAAATGATCCTACCTCATATATATTTTTTGATCTAACAGCTCTGTGTCAAAATTGAAATTTGACACCGGTGTCAAAGGATATATATATATATATATATATATATATATATATATATATATATATATATATATATACGAGGCAGGATCATTTGACACCGGTATCAAATTTAAAGTTTGACACCTCATCTGGAGAGTCGTTAGATCAAAAAATATCAACGACTCTTAAAGTTTGACAAATCAGAGTCGTTGATATTTTTTGATCTAACGACTCTCCAGATGAGGTGTCAAACTTTAAATTTGACACCGATGTCAAAAGATCCTGCCTCATATATATATATATATATATATATATATATATATATATTATCCTATGTTTGGCCTTTATCTGCATTCCGGCTTAAAAATCAATGAAAACTTGGAAAGTAAGACAACAGAATAGAAAGAAGAGAACTGACAAACAGATGCACAATCTTGTCCTTTCCATTGTTCTTTATCAAAAACTATGGACTTGCATTCATAACTGACCCAAAAGTGACATATATTTATTTATTTAAGGTAAAAAATATAAATGTACAAAAAAATGTATAAAACGTAAACAATTATTAAATATTGACTGCGTAGACATTATAAATCTGTACATCTTGAATACATCAACCAGAGTTCATGGCAACAAAATAATTTGATGAGAGGATTAACGTTATATCAATAGTTCAATACTTAGGGCATCGCTCTCCGTGGTGAGAAGCGTGGACTATAGCCCATGGTAAACTGGACATGAAGCCATTATTCTTTTGTCTCATTTGGGTTGCCGGTTAACTCTTCAGCCCAGGCATTTCAATCTAGCTGATGACACAATAAATCTCGTTAAACACAACAAAACGATTTTTTATTTTATTTTATTTTACATTATAATGGAGCAATGGATCATGTTAATTTCAAAATAAATAAACAATATTTTGAAGGGAGTTATAAATCTTATGATACATAAGATAGATATATCATGTGTGAGAAATAAAGTTGTGGGGCCCACAATTTAAAAAAAAAATGGGCACAAGATTATATAAATGTGCCATATAAGACAACTATATTACGTACCAAAATTATTTCCCTATTTGGAATGAATAAATATTTTTTGCATATATTCATGAAAGTGAAAACCACTAAACGGTTTTACATACAACTTTAACAAATGAGTCTCGCCAAAACAAGCTAGCAATTATTCCATGAAACTTAGGGCTTGTTTGGTGGACAAAATAAGATAAGGGTATGATATGATATGAGGATGAAAAGCTTATATCATGTCCTGTATTTGATGAGCACATGATTAACAATCTGATAAAATTATGTAGAAGGAGAAAGAAAAAACAAAATATAATACAATAAATACAAATATATTGGGTAGCATAGAGATATATTGGATAGCGTGGGGATATATTAGGTATCCAATATTAGTATCCTATACTGTTGAATCATAACCCAGCTCCCCCCATAGGATAAGAAATCATGTATTGGATATGATAAAATGAGACAATAGGATAAGCTAATCATATCCTATTGACCCACATAAAAGTAAGATATGATGAGTTATCATATCCTATCATATCTTCTTTATCAAGTGCTCCAAACAAATCCTTAGCTTTTAGCCTTTATGCAATGTGTTATAATATTTACCAATTGAACAAAGAGTAGGTCAAGTACTTTAAGGTGGTGTTTGGTTGGAAGCTTTTTAGAGGATATCTATCTTTCTCAAGTATGACTTTTAGAAATACCATGTTTGTTTCAACGTTTTTCACCAAAAACCCATCTATCCAATTTGTCTGGATTTATGAGAAAGATAGATATCCGCACTGTTTAGAAACCCAATTTGAAGGTGGGATTTTTCGGAAAACCGGTTATCTGGCTTTTAATGCACTGTTGATCTCATAAAGTTACATAATTTTCCCAGTAAAGTTTTTCCCCACCAAACAACTTTTTTTTTACATTTTTCTACCTATCTCACTTTATCTATTTTTTCAATCATTTCTCTATCTATCTCATTTCCCTACTATTCCAAAAAAAATTCCTGAACCAAACGCCCCTAAATGATTTTAGAAACTTCTTGGTTTTTACACTTTTTCGAAATTAGGTTCTAACTATCTATAGGCAGTTAGAATATTATGTTAGCGGAGTAGATTTTTTATGTTAAAATTTTAAATGACCTTATTATAATAAATATTTGTATCTGTTTCTTTTTTTATTAATGATAATTATATCTTATTTATTTAATATATGTTGAGATAAACATAAAAATTTCAAATAATCAAATCAAGTAAAAATTTATTGAGATCCATTCCCATTGGCTATCTATTATCATTTTCGAAATGGATCCTCTCATATTAAAAAAAACATGATTATATGAAATAATCATAATTATATAAAAGTAAATTAATAATTATAATTTAATAATTATTTATTTTAATTTTTTTTCTCTTTTTTTATGATCATTAATCAATCTTTATATAATTATAATTTCACTCAATAATCAAATCTTATTTTTTCAATACGAGACGATTCACTCCCATCATCTTTTATCCTAGACGGAGCGGAGCTTAAATAATAGCACCAACCAAAGGACAAAGAAAATTATTGAATGAACCGTTGATTCACTAATTCCGAAACATAATCCCAGGTCAGAGTCAATTTTATCGGCGGCATTAAATGACACCTGCCATAAAAGCAATTCCCTATCATACCCCTTTATTAAGGTTTGTAAAATTGTGATTGAATTTTTTTAAGAAAGAGATAAATATAAAATAATATTTTTTTATTTAAAATTTAAATTAAAAAAATATTTATTTTTTTTCATGATTTTTATTATTTGTGGTTATCTCTCTGCTAAAATAACATAACTTATGTCATTTAAAATGACAAACATCAAATTCATATTTTATGTGTATTTAAAAAATAATTTTATTTGCTATAATATACAATACATTAAACCTTTTAAACACAATGAAATCAAAAATGATTTGATTCAAAATGTTATTCTGTAGCTACACTTTAGGTCACACTTTGAGCTTTTTATCATAAATTTGTAAAAGTTGCAATTTGGACTTAATATCTACGATATTGTATTTTACATATTATATATGGCTCTTTGTTGATGTATTGTTTGTCGAGTGACAAAAATATTTACACTACAGCATAATGGGAATCAATCTCATTTAAATAATAATAACAGGAATCCTAACAAAGTAACAAATGCACCACAGTGTCCTAGGATAGGAATTCAATCCCTATTTTTATTATTATTATTATTGTTGTTAATATTGTTATTATTATTATTGCTCAGATAAAGCTCAACACATATGACATTAGTTTTCTAACAATGTTTGATTAAATTTGTGTTTTAAACATTTATAGACATGGTGACCCATATCGTGGATGTTTTATAGTGTTTTTTAATGGTATATTACCAAGGGTTTTATTTTTCTTATGTTGCATGAGACAATTGTCTCATGCAACACACAAAAAGTGGGTGAGATTTATTTAAAAAAAAATAAAAATAAAAAATGAATCTTACTCACTTTTTTGTGTATTATATAAGATAATTTGTCGCAACATAAGAAAATTAAAACCTATTACCAAATACTCCATTTTATGTCCACAATCGTGCGTGCACACATCAAGTACCCGTGTGATATTCCACTTTCGTAAATAAATAGTCAAATAAATTTTTTATTGACAAAAATAAAAATCATGCCAAAT